AATTTCCAGCAAAGTCCAGATCTGAAGTTTTTTGAAAGGGTCCACTGAATTCCTTCGGGGGTTTTTAGCAGTTATGTTTTTATAACCCAGTCTATAGCCGAAAAAAAAGAGACGAAAAATCACCCCTTCGCAACCTGTTTTTTTCAAATGCATCTGTTATTTTTCCCCTCGTGAAGAACTCGAAAATTCATGTCTTTATATGTCCCCCTTTACAATTTGAAAATTTCTTGGGTTCCATAGTCCCCTATCTTTTCAAGAGTTCCCTATCAATGCTGTCAAATCTTTTTTGTTTATTTGGAAATATAATTTTTTTTTTAAACAGAATATGCCAATCACTTTTCCAGACAGTGCTGTCTAAGCTGCGCGGTAGATAGCACATTATAATTTCGGGCCTAATAGTGTTAGTGCGAGCACACGAACACGCTACACTAGACACGAAGATGTGTATACTCACACACACATGCACAAACACACAGTAATGGTAGTATTTATTTACTTTTATATAGCTGTATATATCAGCATGTGCCTTTGTTTATATTATTAGCATTGCTATCACTGGGTCTATTCCCAAAACATATTTTCCTTTGATGAGTTTTATGTTGTCCACTTCGATTAACCTACTATGCACACGAAAAGGCAAATGTTTCTTGTGATCGCATCTTTGAAGTTTATATATACCAACAAACTTGCGTCTGACACAACTGCATTTATCCGTTGTCCAGAGTTCCACTTTTGCTTTGAGTTTTGTTCGGAGTTAGTTTTGTTGATCAAATTTTGTCTTTAGCCTAAACTGTTGAACTGTTGACACTTAACATTTCTGATGGCTGCCATATGCTTTACGTATGTATGTTAGTGGATATGCTGTTCGTGTCAATTTTTCCACAAGGGACAGTGATGGACATTCTTTGTGTTTTTCTTTGGCACAGAAGCGGAGCAACTATGGGGTGATCCATTTGCTATGAAGCTGAAAATAAGATTACCACATTACCAGATTACGGCTGACAGAACTGTGGTATTTGTCTCTCTCTCTCTCTTTAATACATACTCATACACACTATTATATCATTTATGGTCAGTCATGTCTAGCATAATACTTTCAAAGACGAGCAGGTAGAATATCGACTACTCGTACCATTAACAAACGTGAGCTAAATTCTATCTCTACAGAAAGTTCAGTATGTCTTTGGCAAGAATGGTCAATGCTACAATACAGTCAGCGCTGCGTTGTCGGACATTGTGGGCAAGTCGTGCAGTGTGGAACTGGAGCGACCAGCGAGCGTTGTCTCGGTACCCCAGCTATGGACCAAGTTGAGAACATTTGTAAGACAAAGGTCGTTGAAGGTCACGTAGTTCTTGGTGATATCTAAATAGGAAATGGATAACAAGTGATTCAAGGAATCTCTTTTTCAATATAGCAGTGCTAAGGAAAATATACACGTCTGAACCATCCCGTCTATAATCTGAGCGCAAATTTTAGGATCATTTAAACGCTAATGGCAGATAGATAGATAGATAGATAGATGGCTAGATTAGATAGAAAGATAGATAGATAGAAAGATAGATAGATAGATAGATAGATAGATAGATAGATAGATAGATAGATAGATAGATAGATAGATAGATAGATAGATAGATAGATAGATAGATAGATAGATAGATAGATGATAGATAGATAGATAGATAGATAGATAGATAGATAGATAGATAGATAGATAGATAGATAGATAGATAGATAGATCCGTAAGATAGATAGATAGATAGATAGAGATAGATAGATAGATAGATAGAATAGAAAGATAGATAGATAGATAGATAGATAGATAGATAGATAGATAGATAGATAGATAGATAGCTAGCTACGCTAGCTAGCTAGCTAGATAGATCGATAGATAGATAGATAGATAGATAGATAGATAGATAGATAGAATAGATAGATAGATAGATAGATAGATAGATAGATAGACATAGATAGATAGATAGATAGATAGATAGATAGATAGATAGATAGCAATAATAGATATATAGATAGATAGATAGATAGATAGATAGATAGATAGATGATGAGAGATAGATAGATAGATAGATAGATAGATAGATAGATAGAATCGATAGATAGATAGATAGATAGATAAGATAGATAGATAGATAGAGCTAGATAGATAGATAGAGCTTTTGATTTGAAGCTAGTACAATATTACACTTTATTTGGCAGTTTTCTGGCATATTTTGGGTATTGGTTTGCCATAAAATGAAGTTTTTTATCTGGCAACCCTGCTGACAAGACAATGTTGTGATTTGGCGCCACTGAAAGCATTGGGGGAGAAACACATACATCACCTGAAGATGCTGTTATATGATCATATGTTTTTGTGATTCGTCAGAAGCGAAGTGCATGGGCTTTTACGGCAAAAACTTAAGGAAAAGTCATCAAAGAAGACAGTGGAGCCTTTGCTTCTATCACCAGCAGCATGACAATGGCTGTGACAAAGGCCCTAGCATGGCGGAAAACTTAGAAATTCACCAATGCATGATTTCTCAGCGACTCATTGAGCATGCTGAAGAAGATTAAAGCGGGGCATAAAAGGAAACAGTCGCTGTATCTGATTCAGCAGGCAGCGTTTTGCAAAATCACCTTCATTTTTGTTCCAGGCAATGCTGGTGTTAAAGACAATGAGAGAGCACACTCCCTGGCTGGCAGTGCGACTATCAGAAACAGGCCATCTGTGGACAGGAGAGATATACGAGAGACTCAACGCTGTGAGGGTTTCAGTCTCGTGGAAACTGATGTTCCAAAGAAAATACTGCATAGCACGGGTGTACCAATTGGAGCGGCGAGACAGGAAAACCATGCAGAACAGAATGGGAGCTGTTAGCCTAAAACACTTAGGGACATACGCAGGAAGAGATCGGAGTAATTATAATCATGTCAGATGTGCGATGAAGATGATATGTAAATAAACAATACCAGAAACAAGGCTATTTGTACCTTTGGCCAATATGAAGAACATTCTGGCCATTGACCTCCCCTGTCTCAGAGTCCAGATTGATATTGTGAAAAGGGAATACGTAAGCCCTGTCTCTCATGGCGCCAAACAGGCTCATCCTTTTAGCTGCCTCGTGAAGTCTGAGGATGTTGGTGGGCTCCAAAGGAGTTCCGTCCACAAAATTAGAGTAGATAGGTTCTTTATCACTGGCGATGTCCTGGTGTGTTTTAAGACAGAAATTATGCAACGATAATTGTGAAGTCCAAGACATAAATATAGGCTAAACATGGCTCTATTCGATACCTTCTGTCAAAGAAGGAAACGTGGTAGAGAGGTTTCTCATCGTTTTTAAACTTCAAAAACATTTGGTTATAGTACGGGTTGTATTAAATCACCGATGCTGTGTTGATTTATCTGGTGCAATTTTTCCCCAGAGCAACCTTAATAAATCGTGTTAGTCATTTTAACATGGTATACACCATACACCTCTGTACAAGTGAAACATTTTGCTCGGTTGTTTGCCCAGTTGGATTGGTGTGGTTTTATTTTGCGTCGGTACTGCACACTGTGTGGATTTTTTTTCTAAAGGGCGGTGTAGGAAAGAGGGTCTTCAGTGTGAGGAATTAGGGCCGCATGGCTAGTGCAGTCACCAAACTGAAATAGTGCTGCAAAATCCTGTGTGACTAATTGAGCTAAAAATATGAGTCACTTACATCACATCTAGTGTGTGTAAAAAAAGTAATTGTTTATTCACGATCATATTAAGTAAAACAATAATACAAGCTACACAACGATCAAAAGACAGGACACTTCTCTTTCCCACGCTTTACGGCATAAGCAGTAGGACTAAAGAAGAAAAAAAGTATGGGATCAAGTGGACGGAGCAGCAGAATAGAGTAGCCATGCATGATCAGAGTGATTCATAGGGGAATGAGCAGATGTGTTGGGTTATACTTTAAGCAAAAATTAAAATATAGTCCGATCTTTGATCAGGCTTCCACTGGCACCATCAACATTGATACTAATCTTTGGCTATTGTAAAAAGGAAAGGAGCAGGTATGTAGTAATGGCGATTCTGGAATCACAAATTCCTCATTCATTCGCTCCTTCAGTCATTGTATGTATCCGTATTCATTCCTTTATTTTTTGTTCTTGAGATGATTTTCAGTTGCTTCATGCTCTGTGTCGCCTAAACAGACATGGCCTACCTTAATGTACCAGTCGATGGACACCCTGAAGATGCTAGCATTGAACACATCACGCTCTGTCACGTGCCCGGTGGTACACACTAGAAAGTACAGCCAGGGATCTGAGGTGTCCACGTGAGTTCCGTTGTGGGCCAATGAACGCAGTGACTGTACACACAACTGAAATAAGACACATCATTAGCAAGTATTGAATTCATATCAACAGACGCAGCACACACAAAATAAGCAGTCTTCCAACTAAGAACGGGACACTGCTGGCTCAACTAGCTCATGCATAAAATAAACACTTACTATCCCCACATTGGCAATGTCAGATGGGACCATAATTACATGAGCACATTCTGCAGACCTGCCCTCTATGCTTAAAGCTACGAAGAAAAAAAATTGTCCTCAGAACAAAGTGTGCAGAGCCCGCTATGGGAAGCCACGATTGACCTGCAACGACATGCACATAAACAGAGGCAGCACACATGACAATGTGATTAGAGCATATGAAACCAACGCAAAAAGAGGAAAAAGGGGGGGGGGGGGGGAGAAGAAGAAAAGTCCTGATTATAACAATCTTTGCAGTTTTTTTTTAAGACCGTGTCGTTTGGAGGGGTAAAAAGAGGGTTGTGGGGGGGGGGGGGGAGGGGGGATGGTTAAAACAAAAGCCGTGGTCGTTGATCGATCCATTATAAATTATATTATAATCTCTTAGACTGAAGTTAAGAAACAGTAAAGGTCCCTTTTCCTCGCTTTTAGGCGAATATAGGGCTAGACCTATATTTTCATAGACCAATCGGCACAAGATGGCTGATGTGGTTAGCATCTCACCGACCGCCTTTACTTCCCAGGACTGCACCAGGTACCCATTCAAGGCTAGGTCGACCTGGGAGTCGAGGTCATTTTTGAAAAAAGGCCGGCTTTATAGGCTGTACATAACTGAAATAGGATACGCTATAAGTGAGTACCATATTTAATGAATATGTTCATTGTGTGCACATCCAACTGGAATATATTTTCTAGTCCAGGCATTGTTGCATTTGTAGACATGCCTATCCACACACTTTTGTCAGCCTACAATGTATTGATCAGTTTATGTTAATGTTTCACTTCCATTGTGTGCGTATGTCTGCCTACATTGTTGTAGTTGTTATGTAATATCTTTGCTATTTTAACTCACATAGAAAGGCATGGGAATCCTCGTGTTAAGACAAATCTGTTATGGTTCGAGTATGGGAATTTAGGATTACTCTTGTCTTAGCATGAGCCTCTCTTTTGTCAGACACCCAGGTATCAGGGTATGTGCAGTCATTTTCTGCTTTATTCATACTATTTTGTGTTTTATTTTCCCCTCTATACAACATAATCTGTCAGAATATCATAATGGCTATGTCCGGCGTTATGTTGACCACACCACACATCGAGTGCAGATCGGTCTATAAAATATAAGTCCAGCCCTCTATGCCTACCCATCTAAAGGTGTGGAAAGTGGTTCTTTGCCTTTTCTTCTTCGTCTTCTTTGCAGTCGGTTTCGTATGCTCAGATCAGACCATCAGATGGGTTGCCTCAATAAACTTGCATGTCAGCTGCAGATCCTTCCTGATTCACAATAGCTTGCTCTGCACACTTTGCTACTGAGGCCAGGTGACTTTTTAAAGTTGTAGGCAGAGTGGGCAGGTCTGCAGAATGTGCTCAGGTGTTTGTGGTTCTGTCTGCATGCACAATTTCGGGACTGTACAGTCTTTTTTATAATTTGTTTGTTTGTTTTTTAATGTAATGCTAATCCCAACACCAGTGTACTCTGATATCCTTGGTGAGTACGCAGTTATAGTATTTATATAATACTAAAATCGTCATCTTTTTTAGTCCATGCCGTATAGCTATCCAGAACATTCTGTCTCGTGTGCTTTTAATGAATTCTGACACGAATGATCTTTTTTTGCCAAGATACCAGACTGCCAGGTATCTTCTCTCTTCGTTTCCCTCTGTTCTCTCCCCCCCCCCTCCTCCATTTTCAGCGTTCCCACCGTCACGATGTACTCTGGTTTTATCAATCTGACCAGGGTATTGTTATTATTCGTCTATAAACCACATTTCCACTGCCTCCAAATAATTTATAAATCATTGTCCAACTGTCCATGATTCACTTCCGTATATCATGATATGAATTATACAGCTCTTGTGAATTCTCTTTCTCGTCTCAGTTGACAAAAAAGAATTGCACACACTGTTTTTTTTTTTTTTTTAAGTGCTGCCAATTCATGAGCTATTTACAATTCAACGTATTTAATACATATTCCATTAGCTGTTACCAGGGTACCCAAGTACTCAAACGTATCAACTTGCTTGAGAACCTACCTCCCCATTATAAATGCTGATGCTATCCGCTGGAAGTTGAAGGACGTGGTCCGGCATGTACAAGTTGGCCTTGACATAGTTCCCAGTGACAGCCAACTCTATAAGCTCTTGCTTGTTACCAAAGGTGCTGTTGCCGAATTCGTCTTGTTTGTAAACCAATTCCCAGTGTCTGTCACAAACACCTGCACGGATAATAACACATATTGGCCAAAATTTATAACCGTATGATAATACTAAACATGGTGTCAGCAGCACAATGGGGAGTGTACTAATTTTATCCTAAAAGAAACAATCCGACCTGAACACAAATTAAGGCGGGAAAGACCAGGCCATTAGGTTTGGTTGGTGGGTGGTCTTGGAAGGAAGCTCCAACAGGAGGACAGACAGGGCATGGCTCATGTGATCCGGCACGCCTTTATTTTCAGTACACATTAATGTCACATTTCTTTTGGAGAAAACAAGCCAGGCCGAGTGAGAGATCATGCTACATGGTCCTTTACAACACCTCTTAGTTTTTATACTATGATTGCCTCCACCTCCATTCTTAAACTAGATGTGGTTTTCATTAACCTAGCCTTTGTTGTACTAAGCGACGTCCATTCGCTTTGGGACTAAATTCCTAAACACTTTTATTGTGTGCATCTCAGCACAAATCAATCTTATAGATGATCACACCACTTCACTTATAGGACAGAATAACACTTCTTCTTCTCTTCAACTTTGTACCTCATCAAAGTTTTCAAGGGAGATAACACACGTTGATGATCTCTGTCAAGAGCACTATTCAGACTGATGTTCATTTCTTTAAGGCTGTTCTTAATGCCATTATTCCATATTTTACGAGGTATTACGCTCGCTCTATACCCGTTGTAACGTTTCAGTGTGGCTCGCTGAGTCAGATAGTACCAGGACATTCTTGTTAGGTGTCCAAACCACTTCATTTGTTGTTCTTTAATGAGCTGTAAGACTGGCCTTATTACTGTCTCCTGGAAAGATGGAAATCTGCTAACAAATAGGGAGTTGTATAATATGTGGTTAGGGTTGCCACTAGTCACCTGCAGTTACATCCCCTGTCAGTCCGGTTCTGAAATGGATTCAGAATCCATGTAGTTATAATTTGAGAATCGAACATCACAGGACTTGGGACATTCTTCAGCAGCAAGTGTAGAGTTCCAATTTTGAATTTATCAGTAACAGTCTGATAGTATATTCGTTTCGCCCGTTTCCTGAATGTTGAGCGTCGGCCTGAACCCCTAGTGACTTCCAGCTGCGCCATCCTCTTCACACAATGATGATCTATGTGTGCCTACGCACGGTTTACTCGCTCCAAAAGTGCTCTTACAACATTGAGGGTGTCAATCATTGGTTGAACCACCAAGTGGTGCAGAACCAACCAGTGTGTCTGCCTGTTCATTCCTAACACAGCGGCATATTCTTGAGAAACTATTCAAACGATGCTAACTATACAAGATCCCCCAAAATTGGGTACCAAACAATTGTTTTTTTCTTCAAGACCAAGTTACTCGTTTTGGTGTATTTAACACTTCTCATACAACATAGTTGGCACCAGATCACTGTGATAGCCGATACTGCTCGCAGTAGATTGAGCGTGGTCGATTTTATGTTTTCTTTTTTGTAAATGAACGGACAGGCTGCATAAAATATTTGTAAAATGGATGCGTACGCGAAATTCAAGTTCTGAACCAGGTTAAAAGTCTGGAAATGGGCGAACAACCCGAACTGTCCATCGGAATTTTCATAAGTCAAACGCTGAGAATAAGAACAAACCTTGTACAGACAAACGGAAACGGAAAACCGACAACAATTTACCCAGCAACGTGTTGGTTGGAGAGCGTCCTTCTGTTACACATATGGCTGCCAGTAATGAGACCAGTAAAGTTGTTTTCGCCAAACAAGACATCTAGAGACAGAAAATATTGAACATCTTCAAGCTCATTAATCCCTTCATTCCAAAAACAAAGCATGGTATGAGTTGAGTTGAGTCAAGAATTGACATCACAGCACTAGCGGCATTTCCACGCATGCTCCCTTCCCATCTTCAGCAGCCAGCGCAGAGTTCCAATACTTATGGTACCAGTCAAAATCTGGTTATATGTCCGTCTTGCCTTTCCTCTGAGTGTAGTGAGCCGCCCAGACCCTCTGATTTCACCCAGATGCCTCATTCTCTCTAGGCCATAATAATCTTCTTTCTCTACTGATTCCGTTGCTTGTTCCCAAAGGGCATTGACCACATCTGCCTTATCATGTATCAATTCATCACAGTGGTGCAGATCCAGCCAATCACTCTGCCTATTATTACCCACCACGCCAGCATAGCCTGGAGAAAAGACTGGAAGTATGCTCACTACCCAGGACCTTTCCACTGAAGCTTACTACTCTGCTCGAAGCACCCCTGTCTTCACCTTTCTAAGCATGCTTTTAAAATCGGTTACAATTACGACATGTGTATGTATCTTGTTCTCTAGGCCCCGGAGAGCTGCAGTTACCGCCTCCACCTCCATTCTCATGCTAGACATTGTGGTGTCATATGCTAGGCTGTCTTGCACTAAAGGTTTTCCATTGGCTCTCGCTACGAACACCTAGGCACTTCTCTTTCCTCTTAACACCAAACCATCTATATAGATACGCATGATGCGTTACTAAATAGACCCTCCCACCATCACATGTGTCAGACATGTCATCAAGTGTTTTGGCTAGTGTATACTAAGTAAATCTAGCAATCACATAGATATAATTCTTTTTTTTTTTTTTTTTCCATTTCCACAACGCAGCAAGTGGTTAGAATTGTTATGGCAATATTTCATGAAAACAGTATGGATTTGTTAACAAAACCTTATCGCATCTAAAGAATTAATAGTTAAAACAACTGCTCCGTATTGCCTTACTGACATTTCTTCATCTACTATATGTCTTAAACACGACTTAGTTCCATCAAATTACTCTCATTTCCAAACATTTGTAACGACGAAAAAGGGTTTTACTATTTCGAAAACTTTGTACTTAATTATATATTTGTCCCACCGTAGTGATTCCTGGGCTACTTTTGAGCGAAAAATAAGGGACTCGTATCTTCCTAACAAGTGTGTCGGGCAAGGCAACTACCTTGGGGGCGTTTGCTTGGAATTTTGGAATGGATTTGCCTGAGAGCGAGGAACCAACAATTTGTATACAAATAAGCCAGATCCGTAAAATGGATGTACACGCAAAACATAAGTTCTTGGATATGGCCAAAGTCCAAAAGTAACAAATAACTAGAACTTTCGTCCCGAGTTTACAGCCTATGAAGGTCAAACAGAAGAAAAAGTAAATCGTTTTTAAAGCAATAACATAAACAAATATAATCATATACAGACACGTGGATATATAGAGCAGGCGATTTTAGTTAGCGAAAACAAAAACAGACAAACGCACACGTCTCACAGAAGCTAAATGGAGAAAAGAATAAAGTTAAAAGGAGATAAAAGAGTATTTTAGCCATTTTCAAAGTCTCGCTGCTTATGCGAAACACTATCTTGACAAAAATGTAGACAAACAAAAAATGGGACGACAATAGATGGAGGTAAAGGTGCTTTTCCCATGCCTTTGGGCTTACATGGCATATAGGGCTAGACCTATATTTTTAAAGACCAATCAACACAAGATTGGTGATGTAGTCAGTATCACGCCTGCCGCCTTTACTTCCTGGGACTGCACCAGGTACCCACTCAAGGCTGAGTCGACCTGGGAGTCAATGTTATTTTTTAAAATGCGGCTTTGCCAGGGAGCTAACCCACGACCTTCCGATCCGCATGCGTTAGAAGTTTGAAGATAAAAGTAAAAATAACTTTTCGAGTAGCAGTCGATCATAAAAGACAAGCAAATTTGAAGTTATCCTGGTAAGTCAAGTTTCTACGAGCTTCCGGCGGCCATGAAATAGACACAATGTATTGGAAGAAACTATTCGCATTTCAGTTGGATTTATTGTTTTGTGCTTTATTTTATGTTGATGTAACTTTGTAGTAATGCACCTGATGAGATACAGCGAAATATGCCTGGAAAAAATTGTGCAATGTATTGTTTGTATCCGCATTATTTAAATTCATTACGGGAAAACATTGTTTTGAATTAAGAATCAACATCACAGCACTCAGGACACCCCCCATTATCGCTCAGCCCACATCTTTAGCAACAAGCGAAGAGTTAAAATTCCGATGGTACCAGTAACTGTCTGATTGTATATCCGTCTCGCCTTTCCCCTGAGTGTTGAGCGTCGGATAGATACCCTTGTAACTCCACGCAGTGCCATTTTCCTAAGACCATAATGATCTATCTGCGCCTCGGCATTGTTCACTCGCTCACAAAGAGCCCTCACAACATCCAGCTTGTTATACATCAGTTCACCAACAAGTGGTACAGAACCGGCCAGTCAATCTGCCCGCTCATTTCCCAACACATCGGCATCACCTAGAGAAAATATCCAAAGGATGCTAACTAGCAGGGTTCTTGGAAGTAATGATTGCCACTCTGCACGGAGCATGTCTGTCTCCACTTTTCTCAACATTAAAAAAAAAAAAAAAAAAATTATTGAAACGACAGTAAAATCAACCGATGTGCATATTTACTGCGTCAGCTCAGTTTAATAATTTCTGCAGTATTAGTAATTACCTCGGTACCAGGTTGATATTAATTTAATTAATTTTTCTTTTTCCCTCAAAAGTTGTTACTTAAAGTGATCAATGTTTCGTTCTGCGCAGCTGAAATAATGACAGCATGGGAACCAAGCAGTAAAAGTACTAATTAGGACACAGTGGGTTAATATTAAAATATACGTGTCACAAGGGATTCATAAAGTTATTCATGTCATTGCAGCCAACAAACGCTCGTTGAGAGAACCTACATGACAACAGAAAAAGAGATTATCAAAAATATGCGGGACCGAGCATGATGATTCGGTAGTTACTCGGAGCAAGCGAGCAGGTGAGTTGAGTTGAACTAAGATGTGTTAACAACCGACGTCACAACAGTCGAGACATTCCCTTCAGCGCGCCGTCCCCGTCTTTAGTAGCCAACGTAGAGGTCCAATTCTGATTTTACGTGTAGCGGTCTGTGTTGAGGAGGCATCGGGAAATAGAGCCCCCGTAGTGTAACCACGCTGACCATTTAACACAAAGAGTGCCGATTG